GTTAAACTGGAAATATAAAATGGTCGAAGTTTTAAGACAATTAGGTGTGTGTGTGTATGTGTGTGTGTGTGTGTGTGTGTGTGTGTGTAATAATTTTCCTCAATACAGACATATATTTCTCACTTAATCAACATCAATTTAAGAATATAACCCAAATGGCGCTAACTTTACACTATGCCTTGAGTTATAATGTGTTTACAACTCTGATATAACCTAAAATAAATCATAATTATATGTTTTTCAAGTTACTTTAGTTAGGCTCGTTATATCGTAAGAGAAAACGGAGGTAAGATGAGAGTGTTTGTGGGGAACTAAAGTAAATCGGTTATGTTTATATTTATGTTTATTTTATCGTGTTCGTCACTGATCAGTTTGTTTAATGGTTAAGTGGTTGTTACGTCTCTGTCACGCACTGTTGGCAAGTACTGGGCATGTACTGGTTCTCTGTCACGCACTGTTGGCAAGTACTGGGCATGTACTGGCTCTCTGTCACGCACTGTTGGCAAGTACTGGGCATGTCTGGCTTCACGCACGCACTGCTGGCAAGTACTGGGTACGTACTGGCTCTCTGTTGCCACCACCGTTGGCAAGTACTGGGCATGTACTGGTCCTCTTCACGCACCGTTGGCAAGTACCGCATGTACTGGCTCTGGTCACGCACCGCTGCGTACCGGGCATGCAATTGTCTCTGTCACGCACTGCTGGCAAGTACTGGGCATGTACCGTCTTCGTCACGCCAACTGCTGGTAAGTACCGGGCATGTACTGGCTCTTGTCACGCACTGCTGGCAAGTACTGGGCGGCTGTACTGGTTCTCTGTCACGCACCGTTGCGCACTGGGCACAATTGGTTCTGTCACGCACTGTTGGCAAGTATCAGCATGTACTGGCTCTCTGTCACGCACTGTTGGCAAGTACCTCGGGCATGTACTGGTTCTCGTCACGTTAATTGTTGGTGCGTACTGGGTATGTACTCGGCTCTCTCTGTCACGCACTGTTGGCAAGTACTGGGCATGTACTGGTTCTCTGCTGGTCAGCGCACTGCTGGCGTACTGGGCATGTACTGGTTCTCTGTCACGCATTGTTGCGTACTGGGTATGTGGCTGGTTCTCTTGCTCACGCACTGCTGGCAAGTACCGGGCATGTACTGGCTCTGTCACGCACCTGTTGGCAAAAGTACTGGGCATGTACTGGCTCTGTCACGCACTGTTGGCAAGTTCGGGCATGTACTGGCTCTCTGTCACGCACCGTTGGCAGCACTGGGCTGCACTTTTCTCTGTCACGCACCGTTGCGCACCGGGCACAGTACCGTTCTGTCACGCAATTGCTGGCAAAGCACTGGGCATGTACTGGCTCTCTGTCACGCACCGTTGGCAAGTACCGCATGTACTGGGTCTCTGTTCACGCGACCGTTGGCAAGTACTGCATGCACTGGTTTCACACCAGTTGGGCAAGTAATTGGGCATGTACTGGCTTCGTCACGCACCGTTGGCGTGCACTGGGCATGTAATTGCTCTGTCACGCACCGTTGCGTACTGGGCATGTACTGGCTCTGTCACGCACTGTTGGCAAAGTACTGGGCATGTACTCTGGTTCTCTGTCACGCACTGTTAAGGGGTACCGGGCATGTACTGGTTCTCTGTCACGCACTGTTGGCAAGTACTGGCGTACCGGTTCTCTGTTACACACTGTTGGCAAGTACTGCATGTACTGGCTCTTTGTTACACACTGTTGGCAAGTACTGCATGTACTGGTTCTCTGTCACGCACCGTTGGCAAGTACTGGGCATGTACTGGTTCTCTGTCACGCACCGTTGGCAAGTACTGGGCATGTACTGACTTTCTCTTTTCACCGCACTGTTGGCAAGCATTGGCATGTACTGTTCTCTGTCACGCAACTGCTGGCGTACCGCATGTACTGGTTCTCTCTGTCACGCACCGTTGGCAAGTACTGGGCATGTACTGGTTCTCGTCACGCACTGTTGGCGCACTGGGCATGTACTGGTTCTGTCACGCACTGTTGGCAAGTACCAGTATGTACTGGTTCTCTGTCACCGTTGGCAAGTACTGGGCATGTACTGGTTCTCTGTCACGCACTGCTGGCAAGCAAGGCATTGCAATGTACTGACTTCACGCACTGGTTGGCGCACTGGCATGTACCGGTTCTCTGCTCACGCACTGCTGGCAAAGGGCACTGGGCATGCCTGGTTCTCTGTCACCGCACTGCTGGCAAGTACTACGTACTGGTTCTGTCACGCACCGTTGCGTACTGGGCATGTACTGGTTCTCTGTCACGCACTGTTGGCAAGTACTGGGCATGTACCGACTCTTCACGCACTGCTGGCAAGTACCGGGCATGCACCAGTTTCTGCTCACGCACTGCTGGCAAGTACTGGGCATGCACTGGCTCTCTTTCACGCACTGTTGGGCAGCGTACCTCTGTCATCGCAAAATTGTTGGCAAGTACTGGCATGTACTCGACTCTTCACGCACTGTTGGCAAGTACCGGGCACAATTGGCCTCTTGTCACGCACTGTTGGCAAGTACTGGCATGTACCTCGACTCTCTGTCACGCACTGTTGGTAAGTATTGGGCATGTACTGACTCTCTGTCACGCACCGTTGGCAAGTACTGGGCATGTACTGGCTCATCACGCACCGTTGGCAAGTACCGGGCATGTACCGGCTCTGTCACCGCACCGTTGGCAAGTACCGGGCATACCGGCTCTGTCACGCACCGTTAAGTAAGTACCGGGCATGTACTGGCTCTCTGTCACGCACCGTTAAGTAAAGTACCGGGTACGTACTGGCTCTGTCACGCACTGTTGGCAAGTACTGGGTATGTACTGGTTCCTTCTGTCACGCACCGTTGGCGCACTGGGGCATGTACTGGCTCTGTTACGCCAATTGCTGGCCGCACTGGGCATGTACTGGTTCTCTGTCACGCAATTGCTAAGGGCACTGGGCATGTACTGGTTCTCTGTCACGTACCGTTGGCAAGTACTGGGCATGTACTGGCTCTGTCACGCACCGTTGGCACTGGGCATGTACTGGCTCTCTGTTACACACCGTTGGCAAGTACTGCATGTACTGTTCTGTCACGCACCGTTGGCGTTACTGGGCATGTACTGACCCCTTCACGTGACCGTTGGCAAGTACCGCATGTACCGTTCTGTCACGCACTGTTGGCGTACTGGGCATGTACTGACTCTCTTCACGCACTGTTGGCAAGTACTGGGCATGTACTGCTCTGTCACGCACTGTTGGCGGCATGTACGACTCTTCACGCACTGTTGGCAGTACTGGGCATGTACTGGCTCTGTCACGCACTGTTGCGTACTGGGCAACTGGCCTCCTGTCACCGCACTGGTTGGCAAGTACTGGGCATGTACTGGTTCTGTCAGCACTGTTGCAAGTACTGGGCATGTACTGGCTCTCTGTCACGCACTGTTGGCAAGTACTGGGCATACTGGTTCTCTGTCACGCACTGTTGGCAAGTACTGGGCATGTACTGGCTCTCTGTCACGCACTTGCTGGCGTGTACTGGGCATGTACTGGCTCTGTCACGCACTGTTGGCAAGTACTGGGCATGTACTGGTTCTCTGTCACGCACTGTTGGCAAGTACTGGGCATGTACTGGCTCGTCACGCACTGTTGGCAAGTACTGGGCATGTACTGGCTTCTGTCACGCACTGTTGGCAAGTACTGGGCATACTGTCTCTGTCACGCACTGTTGGCAAGACTGGCATGTACTGGCTCTCTGTCACGCACTGTTGGCAAGTACTGGGCATGCTAGCTCTCTGTCACGCACTGTTGGCAAGTACTGGGCATGTACTGGTTCTCTGTCACGCACTGTTGGCAAGTACTGGGCATGTACTGGTTCTCTGTCACGCACTGTTGGTAAGTACTGGGCATGTACTGGCTCCTGAATCCATCTGGTATATTGTAAATCTTTATATAAATTAAGAGACAAAATTAATTTACACCTGAGATAATTAACACCTGAGGTAATTAACACCTGAGATAATTAACACCTGAGATAATTAACACCTGAGATAATTAACACCTGAGATAATTAACACCTGAGATAATTAACACCTGAGATAATTAACACCTGAGATAATTACCACCTGCGATAATTACCACTCGAGATAATTACACCCGGAGATACTAATACCTGGAGACATCAATACCCGAGATAATTAACACCCGAGATAATTAACACCTGACATAATTAACACCTGAGGTAATTAATAATTTGAGATAATTAATACCTGAGATAATTGAACACCCGGAGATAATTAACACCTGGAGATAATTACCACCCGGAGATAATTAACACCTGAGATAATTAACACCCGGAGATAATTAACACCTGAGGTAATTAACACCTGAGATAATTAACACCTGAGATAATTAACACCTGAGATAATTAACACCTGAGATAATTAACACCTGAGATAATTAACACCTGAGGTAATTAACACTTGAGATAATTAACACTTGAGATAATTAACACTTGAGATAATTAACACCTGAGATAATTAACACCTGAGGTAATTAACACCTGAGATAATTAACACTTGAGATAATTAACACCTGAGATAATTAACACCTGAGATAATTAACACCTGAGATAATTAACACCTGAGATAATTAACACTTGAGATAATTAACACCTGAGATAATTAACACCTGAGATAATTAACACCTGAGATAATTAACACTTGAGATAATTAACACCTGAGATAATTAACACCTGAGGTAATTAACACCTGAGGTAATTAACACCTGAGGTAATTAACACCTGAGGTAATTAGGGTTAAATAAAACGTCAATGATGCTATTAAATTTTATTGCTATCATATAACAGTATAACGTCTATTCATATCAAAATATATACATGTGTGGTAATATGTATCTAGAGTATGTATTGATGCAGGAGTATACATATTTATACATAGAGCTGAGTGTGTGTGTGTGTGTGTGTGTGTGTTATCCATTCAACCTTGTGTATGTATATATGTATGTTTCCTATATATGTATACATCCTAATTTAATTTAATACATATTTTCATCGACTAATGTATATACTTAAGAAACTGTGTAAATTTAATGTATATTCTGTATAACTATGTATACTTTTTAGGTATTATACATGGTGAATGATTAACAGTGTATAAAGAGTTATGTATACCTAAAATTTAAGGGTTTTTTCTATATTTTAGGGTCTTTGAATTGAGTACAGGGTCTTAGCGTTGAGTACAGGGTCTTAGCGTTGAGTACAGGGTCTTAGCGTTGAGTACAGGGTCTTAGCGTTGAGTACAGGGTCTTAGCGTTGAGTATAGGGTCTTAGCGTTGAGTACAGGGTCTTAGCGTTGAGTACAGGGTCTTAGCGTTGAGTACAGGTAAATTTTAGGTTCCCACGCCACCATTTGAGGGGAAAAAGGGCTTAACTTTTAGCGGGTCGACAATATGTGGTTTCAAAGTGAGTGGAATGGGGTGATTGTCCCTATTTTGGCCTGATTTCGCGTCCTCGGTGAATTTTGGCGTGATTTGGCGGTCTTTTAGCGTGATTTGGCGGTCTTTTGGCGTGATTTGGTGGTTTTCTGGCGTGATTTGGTAATTGGTGGAGCGGCGGCGGTCTGTGATTGGTTTGTCGTAAGGGAGAGTAGTCAATGCCGCGGCTGTGTATGGTAGAGGCGCTGTGACGTGGCTTGTTCGGATTGGTGCAAAGAGAGGTATTGGTTTCAGAGACGCGATGTTGATTGGTAAGCGAGTTGTGACGTGTTGGGTTCTGATTAGTGGGAGAGTTGTGACGTGTTGGTTTCTGATTGATGGGCGAGTTGTAACATGGGTGTTTCTGATTGGTGGAGAGAAAGGTGAAGAAGTCAAACCCGAGGTGGTGATTGGTGAAGAAGTTATGACGGGGCTGTTTGTAGATGACGTAAAGTACGGCGTGGCAGTCAGCGATACGTCAATAAGTGGTGACGTATTTGTGATGTGGGTGTCTATGATTGGCTTCCTGGTCGTTGATTGGTGTTTAAAGAGCCTGGTCTTCTCTGATTGGCGCTTAGCATTATTATTATATGGATTTTTATTCTGCAAAAAAAAAAATAATAATAATAATAATAATAAATAAAACTTGACAGAAAAAATTAATGAATCAATTATTATTATTAACAGTAGTAGTAGTAGTAGTAGTAGTAGTAGTAGTAGTAGTAGTAGTAGTAGTCCTTACCTGTTCAACATATAGCCCCTTGTTCACTATATAATAATGAACAGCCTTATCACACCTCACGTTCCTCCAATGGTCACACGTTAAAATCCTTTGGTTGAACACCGTCCCATTGGGGCAGAGAAACGAGCTCATTCTACCACCAATTTGGCAGTTATGGAACACCTAGGGGGGAGCACAGAACAGGTGTGTTAGTTTGGGCAGGTGTGTGGGGGCGGGGTTTGTTTGTGTGTCAGGTTTGGTTTGGTTAGGTTAGATCAGGTCAGTCATAGGTCATATGAAGGACTAGGTAGGTTAGGTCAGGCCAGGTCAAAACCCCATCATATCTCAAATCATCCTCAGAAAAACTACACAAACAGCAAATCATAAAAAAAAACATAAAAAAAACACCTAAAAACATAAAAAACACCTACAAATATTAAAAAAACACGTAAAAAAACAAAAACACTAAAAACATAAAAAACACCTACAAATATTAAAAAAAAAAACATAAAAAAAACACCTAAAAACATAAAAACACCTACAAATATTAAAAAAACACGTAAAAAAACACAAAACACTTTAAAACAAACACAGTCAAAACATCATACCTGACAGCGAGCTTCTTGATCAGCGTAATAACCAGGATGTTTATCACTACAGGAGAACGGCGTCTCAGGGAGGGTACTGTAGATCGGGTAGTCGTAGTGTGATAAGCCTGGAATACCTGGGATGCGACGTCCAAGCTGGGGAAAACGGAATAGATTAGTTACCCATTGAATTTGATTTGGTTTTCTATGTTATGGCGTTTTGAGTTGAATTTTAAGGTCGGGTTAGGTTGGCTTGGGTTAGGTTAGGTTTGGTTAGGCTTGGCTTTGTTAGGTTAGGTTTGATTAAGATACAACTAACTGGTACAAATTAACTGTACTAAACAGTTTCATCCATACAGTTTAACCTAACCCCAAAGAACAGTCATAAAATTACCTCACTCCGAGATGACTGGATACCGAGTGACTGTTGATTGTCATAGGGCCCATGGAGACGGGGCCTAGGTAGACGGGGCCTAGGTAGACGGGGTCCAGAGACACGGGGCCCAGTCGAGGCTAACTCCGTCACTGGCCCTGAGGTGACGAAATTGGACCTTACTGGACCATTTGGGGCATAGTCGGGTTGAAATGGCCCAGTTGGTTGGGATTTTGGTTTTAAGGGCCGTTTGGTTGGCCCAAAGGAGGTGAAATCAGGGCCAAGGGGCGTTTGGTGGGGTAGGTAGGGGTTTAATTTAGGTCCCAATGGGTTTTTCGTAGATTGAAATGGGATGAATTCAGGTCCCAATGGGCGTTTCGTGGGTTGGAATGGGATGAATTCAGGTCTTATGGGCGAATGTGGAGTCTCAAAGGGTCTTATGGCCTGTTTAGGTGAGATGAAGTCTTGGAAACGTGGTCTTGATGTGGAGTATTGAGGTTTGCTGAGGGTGTGGTGCTGTGTGGGTCTTGGTGTAGTGTGGATATCCAGAGGTCTTGGAGTAGTGTGGATATTGAGAGGTCTTGGAGTAGTGTGGATATCGAGAGGTCTTGGAGTAGTGTGGATATCGAGAGGTCTTGGACTAGTACGGATATCCAGAGGTCTTGGAGTAGTGTGGATATCGAGAGGTCTTGGACTAGTACGGATATCCAGAGGTCTTGAACTAGTGTAGATATCCACAGGTCTTATAGTGGTCTCAATTCTGACAGGTTTGGGTCTACTACGAACTTGTGGTCTTGGTGGTGGTCTTTGGGAAACATGAAAACCCTTACCAGTGTCCAATTCCAGTCTTAAATTGATCTGTTTTGGTCTTGGGGTCTTACTGAACCTCTCTAAACCAAGGTTACGTTGTGTGTTCAATGATCTGGGGATATTCTGTTGTCCTGGGGAGTTGGGTGTTAGTTCCAGGTTGGGGTAATTGGGTATATAGAACCCCTTGGGTCGGGTTGTGGTATGGAGGTTGTGTGGTTGATGGGCGTGGTTTGAGGAGGGGGAGTTTGGTTGATTAGGTGGTAGGTGAGGGGTGTTTAGAGGTGAGGGGGGAAGGGGAAGGGGAAGAGGTGAAGGGGTCGTGATCTGGGTGTGAGAAGGGATTGGAAGGCGGAGGTGATGGGAAGGTGGACGAGAAGGATGAGATCTAACGAGAGAAGAATGATGGAAAGAAGAGAGAGATGGGATAGATGAAGGGGTAGGTTGAGGTCTGTGGGACGTGTGGATAGATGATGAAGGGGTAGGTTGAGGTCTGTGGGACGTGTGGATAGATGATGAAGGGGTAGATTGAGGTCTGTGGGACGTGTGGATAGATGATGAAGGGGTAGGTTGAGGTCTGTGGGACGTGTGGATAGAAGGAGGAGAAGGAGGCACTAACATCCTTACTATGGGTGTGTAAGGAGGAAGACGAGGTGAAGGAGTGAGGGGAGGAAGCGTAGGATTATAAACAGGAGGAGGACGTGGGGTTAGTGGAGGATATCGGGGAGTTGTAGAAGGGAAGCCATGTTGTGGTGGATTCAGGATTTCTCTAGCTATGAGTTCAGGTTTGTAGGATATTGAAGGAGTCCTGGTGATATCCTTCGTGTGTCTTGGTGCCCCGAAGGACGTATAATGGATACTTGGAAGTGTGAACGCTGTAGTAAAGGATGTCGGGACTTCGGTGAAGGATTTCCTAGGACGTTTAGTACCGATGGAAGGATTTGAAGATGTACTTCGTATCCTTGGGTTCCTTGAGGGAGGCTTCGGGGTGACGTTAGTGATGAAGGACCCTGGGGACTCTAACACCCCATTAGAGGACACTGGTGACGTAGGCGCTGCTGTAGGATGTCCTATACCGACGAAGGAACTCCCTGGTATAATATAGACGAACTCAGACGAGGCGTTATCTGGGATAGACGGAATAGGTGATGGATTGACAGGTGCGTATAGATGGATAGACAGAGGCTTGACAACGACAGGAGGGATAGGGGTTGACAGAGTGCTCGCTGGGGGAGGAGACTGGGAGAAGGAGGAGACCATCTGAAGAGGGGCCGTTCTAATATAGGGTCTAGGAGACAGTGTTGTGGAGATCGTTGTTGGATAGCCCTTAGGAGATACTAGGCCTTTGGATGTTGTCGTAGGATGTGGTTTAAAATTTGGGCGAACGGAGGACAGCCTTGTGGCATAGGGCCTGGGAGATCGAGTACTTGGGGAGGCCGTTCTACCCGTGGAGACCGTGTTTACATAAAGCCTAGGAGATAATGTACTTGAGGAGGCCGTCTCTACATAGGGCCTAGGAGATCGAGTACTTGGGGAGGCCGTTCTACCCGTGGAGACCGTGTTTACATAAAGCCTAGGAGATAATGTACCCCTGGAGACCTGCCTAGGAGATTTAGCCAAATATGCGACTCCTGCCTTCGATCCAAAGCCACTTGAAGGAACTGTATATTTTCTTAACTCCAATTCCGGCTTTGGAGTCGTCCTCGGCTTGAAGGAATAACTCGGGGTGTGTTGCGACTCCATATACAGTGACATATCCCTCAAAGCTTCAAGTCGTTGTAGAGGAGCAGTCGTTTTGAAGGTGTGTTTTGGTCTGAATGTCGTGGTTACAATATTTTTTTTGTTATTTTCTACGTCTGTTTGTTTCTTAATATCTGTGTTTTCTATCGGGGTTTCGTTATTGATTCTCGTTATTTCGTAGTTGTTGAGTAATTTTGTTTTCATCGTTTGTTCCAAGTCAGGAGTGGCTTTTATTGCTGTTTGGTCCGGCTTGTGGTTATGATGTAGAAATGTTATAGGATTTAAAATAGTTACCGGTTGTAAGGTCTCTTGGGTGTCTCCGTTTTCTATGATGTCTTGGGTGTTTCCGTTTTCTATGATGGTGGCGTCTTGGGTGTGTCCGTTTTCTATGATGGTGGCGTCTTGGGTGTGTCCGTTTTCTATGATGGTGGCGTCTTGGGTGTTTCCGTTTTCTATGATGTCTTGGGTGTTTCCGTTTTCTATGATGGCGGCATGTTGGGTGTGTCCGTTTTCTATGATGGTCTTGGGTGTTCCGTTTTTCTATGATGGTGGCGTCTTGGGTGTGTCCGTTTTCTATGATGTCTTGGGTGTTTCCGTTTTCTATGATGGCGGCGTCTTGGGTGTGTCCGTTTCTATGATGTCTTAGGTGTTTCCGTTTTCTATGATGGCGGCGTCTTGGGTGTCCGTTTTCTATGATGTCTTGGGTGTTTCCGTTTCTATGATGGTAGCGTCTTAGGTGTCTCCGTTTTCTATGATGTCTTGGGTGTCTCCGTTTTCTATGATGTCTTGGGTGTTCCGTTTTCTATGATGGTGGCGTCTTGGGTGATAGGGGTACTACAATGACGTTTTGGGCTTTGTTTGGGTACATTTGGCCTTTTTCTAAGTCGACGTCTTGTCCCGAAGGTCGATGCAACGCCTTGTCGAGCAAAGACATGTCTATTGGATGATGTATATGGTCGAATAGTGGAAAAATGTCGATTTAATACCAGTCGTTTCTGATTAGGTGGGAGGAGAGCTCTAGGTCGACCGATCCCTGTAAAATGTCGGGATTCCTGCCCTGTGCTATCCTTTAAAGTCGTTCCTTCGCGTCCCAGACTCCTCAAAAGGACTTCATCTATAACGTGACCTCCTGAATCCTGGGTCAATACAGTGTCATAGGGTGACTCAGTGTGTGAAATCTGGATTGATTCTGATGTCTTTAAGATCGATTCGTTGGATTTTAACGAGTCATCTGTGAAATCTGGGAAATCTGGGGATGTTGAGGATTTTAGACCATAGGACCATCTTGGAAGGGCCCTAGAGTAATATATGGTCCCTGAATGCCTCTCAAGACCATTTCAGGATTAGTGGTATTACCTCTGGAGCCTGAAATATGGCCATACCCATCTCAGATTTATCCATATTACCAGATTTACGGGAAGGATTTGAGTCTTGGTTGACTTTGGGGTGAAATACGTAGATTCTGTTGTATTGAAATCGGAATCTGGGGTTTTCTCTAAATCGTGGGCAATCTGGGCCGATTTTTCTTGTTCTTCGATGAAAGAACTTGATGTGAATACAGTGGAAGGATTTTGATATCCTGTGAGAGTCCTGTAGAATATCTGAGGATTTTCATCATTTTTAGGAGATTTGAGGTAAAATCTGAAGTCCTTTGAGGATTTTGAAGGATTTGGGAGGATTTTTCATCGCTTTTGGAGAACCAAGCCAAAATCTGATTCACTTTGAGAGTCATGAAAGATTTCTAAGATTTATCATAATCCTGAATTACAGACGTTGGTTTTAATGACCTGACAACGATTTCAACATCCTTCGAGGTCCTTGAAGGATTTTTAAGGATTTATCTTTATCCTCAGTGGAATAAATCGGCTCAGAAGCACTTAAATCGGCATCAAACACCCTTTGGTATCCGATATCTCGAAATCTGGTTGAAATCTGTTTTAGGTATATTTGGCGAAATTTGATATCCTAGAACTCCTCCTGAAAATCTGTAGGAATCCTTGAAATCCTGGATGAAATAGGATCTGTCTAGTGAGTGAAGGATGGCGTCTAGGCTCTCTGGATATCCTTGCGTGGAGGATGTTGAAATCTGTGCATCCTTCCCTCCATCCTCAGCCGATTTAGGGATTTCAGAAGGAGGATTTAATGTCCTGGAACTTCATGGACGAAAATCGAAATCGGGAAATCTGGACCATATGGTTCTTGCGGTTTTGTGGAAAATCTGATCATTTTTATGGTTTTTCCATGTGGTAAGTTTTGTGTATTGTGGTCTTGGTTCGAGGATTTTAAATCATCCTGCCTTGGTTCTTCAGATTTCACTCCATCCTGCCTTGGTTCTTAGATTTCCTCCATCCTGCCTCGGTTCTTTGAATTCCTCCATCCTGCCTTGGTTCTTCAGATTTCACTCATCCTGCCTTGGCTCTTCAATTTCCTCCATCCTGCGGCTCTTCAGTTCCTCCATCCTGCCTTGGTTCTTCAGATTTCTCCATCCTGCCTTGGCTCTTCAGATTCCTCCATCCTGCCTTGGTTCTTCAGATTTCACTCCATCCTGCCTTTGGTCTTCAGATTTCACTACATCCTGCCTTGGTTTCTTGAATTTCACTCCATCCTGCCTTGGTTCTTCAGATTTCATCCATCCTGCCTTGGTTCTTCAGATTCCTCCATCCTGCCTTGGTTCTTCAGGTTTCCTCATCCTGCCTTGGTTCTTCAGATTTCACTCCATCCTGCCTCCGTTTCTTCAGTTCCTCCATCTCCCTTGGCTCTTCAGATTTCCCCATCCTCCCCCTTGGCTCTTCAGATTTCCTCCATCCCTTGGTTCTTCAGATTTCCTCCATCCTGCCTTTGGGTCTTCAGATTTCACTACATCCTGTGGCAGTTCTAGATTTCACTCATCCTGCCTTGGTTCTTCAGATTTCCTCCATCCTGCCTTGGTTCTTCAGATTCCTCCATCCTGCCTTGGTTCTTCAGATTTCACTCCATCCTGCCTTGGTTCTTCAGATTTCACTCCATCCTGCCTTGGTTCTTTAGATTCCTCCATCCTGCCTTGGTTTCTTCAGATTTCATCCATCCTGCCTTGGTTCTTCAGATTCCTCCATCCTGCCTTGGTTCTTCAGATTCCTCCATCCTCCTTTGGCTCTTCAGATTCACTCCATCCTGCCTTGGTTCTTCAGATTTACTCCATCCTGCCTTGGGTCTTCAGATTTCACTACATCCTGCCTTGGTTCTTCAGATTTCACTCCATCCTGCCTTGGTTCTTCAGATTTCCTCCATCCTGCCTTGGTTCTTCAGATTTCACTACATCCTGCCATGGGTTCAGGGGTCTAGAAATCCTGAAGAGTATTGAATGGTGTAGGATTGACCTGTAGGATTTGTAGGGCTGCTGGGACATCCTTTTGAGGATTTAGAGGGACATAGGATGTGTTTTGCCCATCGTGTAGGATTTCTGAGACGTTCTTCGCGAGGCTGAGGTGATTTTAAGCAAATCTGATAATTTTATTCTCTTGTGAGCCAAATCTGGTGTCTTTTGAGGATTTTGAGTTAAATCGGGCCATTTTGAGAGTTTGAGCCATTTCAGGGGATTTAAATGGCCCTCTTGATGGCCCTAGAGATGTTTGGCCATTTTACTGTTATTTGGGGCATTTTCTGTGATTTGTGGGCTATTTTCACCATTTATATCATCTTGGCCATTTACGTCACCTGGCCATTTATCCTTGTAACCTGGCCACTTTGACGAATATCCTGGCCATTACGTCACCCTGGCCATTTATCCCTGTAACCTGGCCACTTTGACGAATATCCTGGCCATTTACGTCACCCTGGCCATTTATCCTTATAACCTGGCCACTTTGACGAATAGCCATTTTGACGAATATCCTGGCCATTTTGACGAATATCCTGGACTTTGACGAATATCCTGGCCATTTACGTCACCTGGCCATTTATCCTTGTAACCTGGCCACTTTGACGAATATCCTGGCCATTTACGTCACCCTGGCCATTTATCCTTGTAACCTGGCCATTTTGACGAATATCCTGGCCATTTACGTCACCCTGGCCATTTTATCCTAATATCCTGGCCACTTTGACGAATATCCTGGCCATTACGTCACCCTGGCCATTTATCCTTGTAACCTGGCCACTTTGGACGAATATCCTGGCCATTTACGTCACCCTGGCCATTTATCCTTGTAACCTGGCCACTTTGACGAATATCCTGGCCATTTACGTCACCTGGCCATTTATCCTTGTAACCTGGCCACTTTGACGAATATTCTGGCCATTTTGACGAATATCCTGGCCATTTTGACGATTATCCTGGCCATTTTGACGATTATCCTGGCCATTTTGACGAATATCCTGGCCATTTACGTCACCCTGGCCATTTATCCTTGTAACCTGGCCACTTTGACGAATATCCTGGCCAGTGCAGTGCCCTACACCGGCCACTGCTGTTGGAAAGAAAAAAGTTTACTGAATAGGTTTTGTAAATTCTTTTTTTAACATTTATGACTTAATGCATTTTGTAAATAAGGGAGATTTATTTTATTAGGGTTTTGTAAATAAGGAGATTTATTTTATTGAGTTTGTAAATAAGGAGATTTATTTTTAGTTTCTTGTAAATAAATGAAATTGAAAGAAAGTGAGAAAAATTGAGAAAATAAGAAAGAAAGTGAGAGAAAGTGAAAAGAATTTGAGAAAAATTAAGAAAATTTGAGAAAAGGAATTGAAAGAAAAGTGAGAATTTGAGAAAGTGAGAAAATTTGAGAGAAAGTGAGAAAATTTGGGAAAGTAGAGAATTTGAGAGAAAGTGAAGAGAATTTGAGAGAAAGTGAGATAATTTGAGAGAATTAGAAAGATTTGAGGAGAATTGAGAAGAGTTGGAAATTGAAGATTTGAAGGTGGGGAATTTGAGAGAAAGTGAGAAAATTTGAGAGAAAGTGAGAAAATTGAGAGAAAATTTGAGAAAATTTGAGAAAGTGGAAAATTTGAGAAAGTGAGAAAATTGAAAGTGAAGATTTGAGGAAAGTGAGAATTTGAGAGAAAGTGAGAAAATTTGAGGAAAATTGAGAGAATTGAGAGAAAGGTAGAAATTTGAGAGAAAGTGAGAAAATTTGAGAGAAAGTGAGAAAATTTGAGAAAGTGAGAAAATTTGAGAGAAAGTGACTTACCCAGAATCAAGAGGAACAAAACGTTTCTTCTCCATCTTGTCTCTGTAAAAAAAAATGTAAATTAAAAATAAAATATTTTAATATATATTGAAAAAGTTTGTTTCTGTCTGTCTGTCTGTGTCTGTCTGTCTGTAAGTGTCTGTGTCTGTATGTATGTGTGTGT